GCTCAAGGCTGTCCTGGCCTACGTGCAGCTCTTCACTGCCAAGGACGTCGCCTTCGCCAGCCTGCCCTACTTCAAGGTGGGACGGGGGTGGCGGGGGAGTTGTTTGGGGGTTGCATGGGGCAGTTGGGGAGTTGTGTGGGGCGATGGCGGCAGTTGGGGGATTGTGTGAGGCAGCTAGGGGCTTGTGTAGGGCGATGGGGGCATCTGGGGAGTTGTGTGGGGCAGTGGGGGCAGTTGGGTTGTGTGGGGCAGCTGGGGAGTCACTGGAGCAGTCTGGGGTTGGCCCTGGTAAGGCTGCAGGGTGCACAGGGCAGGGTGGGGACCACTGGGGCAGAATGGAGCTTGTATGGGGTAGTTTGGTTTCTTTTCGGGGCCCCAGGGTGGTATTTTTGGGGTGTAACCCCCATTTTTGGTGGCAGGGGGAGTTCTGCGTGGAGGCGGTGCGCGAAGGACTGGTGGTGGCCTTCGTGCGCTGGCTGTGCCACACTGCCCGGGGCTTTGCCGATGGCCCGGCGGAGCGGGGGGCCCCCGCTGCGCCCCCAGCCCTGCTGCTGCTCCTTGCCCGCCTCTGCCTCGACTACGAGGCCACCACCATCAGCTACATCCTCACTCTCACTGACGAGCAGTTTCCCCCTCAGGTGAGCCCCCAAAACCACCCCAATTGACCCCAAAATGGCCTTAAGGGGACCCTGGATGTCCCTAGGTTGTCACAGAATGGCGCTGCATCCCTCTGCCTCCCAGCATCCGTTTGGGATATGGTGGTGGGTACTGCAGCATGTGTGGCGGCTTGGGGATCCTCCTTCCCTCTGTGTCCCCCAAAACATCCCTGAGTGGACCCAAAATGGTCTGATTGTGCTAAAAATGGCCCCAAGGTGGTCACCTCAAATGGCACCAAGTTCCCCTGTGGCCCTGTGTCCACCCAAGATGTGGTGGTGGGGACAGCGGTGTGTGTGGAGGTGTCAGAATCTTCTCTGTGTGCCCCCAAAGTCCCTGAGGGACCCCAAAACGTCCCCAAGTCCCTTCAAGTGCCCTGCTGTGACCCCAAGTCCTTCCAGAATGTGACTCCAGGGGTGCAGGCAGAAGGGTCCTTACCTGTGCCAGCGTCTCCCAGATGTCCTCAAGGCCACCAAAATGTCCCCAAGGGACTTCTGCATGTCCCCAAGTCCCCCCAGACACCCCAAGGAGATGAGGGTGGGCACTGATGCTGCTGGAGGGGGGGGCTGGACAGCGTCCCACATGTCAACTGATGACCCTGTGCCCGCAGGACCTCAGAAGGTGGAGGCACATGGGGGTCCATCCCCACGCTTCCCCTGTATCCCCAGGCCCCCGGTGGTGACGATACTGTAGGCAGAGGTGAGGGGGCTGTTCCTACGTGTCCCCACATGTCTGTGTGTCCTTTTTTCCCTCCCCAGGACACGGGCCCGGTAGTGACACCGGGCCCAGCACTGTGTGCAGAGGCGCGGGCAGCAGCGCAGCGGCTGCTCGACCACTACGTGCAGGTCCAGGGCGCCGCGGTGGCGCAGATGCTGCGGAAGAGCGTGGAGACACGTGACTGGCTGGGCACCGTCGAGCCCCGCAACGTCCGCGCTGTCATGAAGCGCGTGGTCGAGGACATCACCGCCATCGATGTCCAGGTTGGGGCAGCACCTGGAGCTCAGAGGGGCTTGCGGGGGGCGGGCCTGAAGTCCTCCGGGGGCTTCTCCGATATCCCAGAGTGTGCCTGGAGAGGCTTTGAGGTCCCCATAAGATCCTTGAGGACTTTATGAAGTCCCCAGAGGGCATCTGCATCAGTCCCTGAAATCCCCCAGGGGTCCCTGATGTCCCAGAGGGTCCCAGGATGGGGGCTGAAGTCCCTGAAGACTAAGAGGGGATGCCCGAGGTTCCTGAGGAACTCTGGGTGTCCCAGAAGGGTTTGTGAGGGTCACAGAGGATTTGAAGGGCCCTGGGGGGTTTCAGAGGGTGTCCCAGATGGTGTTTTGGGTGGATTCTGGGACACCAGCACTGAGAGGGTGTGTTGCCACAGGTGGGGCAGCTCTTCGAGGAGGGGGTGCGGCGGGCACAGAGCAGTGACTCGAGCCGGCGCGCCTTCTCCGTCTACAGCAGCTCTCGGGCACCCGGGCGCTACGCCCCCAGCTACACCCCCAGGTCAGCCCTGTCACCCCTGTGCCCTCCCCAGTCACCCCCAGGTCAGCTCTGTCACCCCTGCACCTGCCCTGGTCACCCCCAGGGCCGCCCTGTCACCCCCAGGGCCTGTCACCCTTGTGCTCCTTCTGTCACCCTTGCAGTAACCGCTTTGTGTATGTGACCCTCTTTACATCCCCAGACTGTCCCAATGTTCCCTGATGGTCCCCATGTCCCCACCATCCCCATGTTCTCCCCGACCATCCCAGTATCCCCCAATGACCCCCATGTGCCTTGTGTCCCGCCATTGTCTCGCCTCCGTGTCCTTGACTGTCCCCACGTTCCCTGACTCTCCCCACACCCCCTGCCCATCCTCATGCTCCCCTGACCATCTGTGTCTCCATCCCCGTGTCTCCTGACAGCCCCCATGTCCCTGTGCCCACATCCCCTGGCCTTGTCCCCTGTACTTGCCTGTCCCTGTGCCCCTGACGGTCCTGCTGTCACTGTCCCAGTGCCCCCATGGACACCCACCTGCTCAGCAACATCCAGAAGCTCTTCTCTGAGCGCATCGACATCTTCAGCCCTGTCGAGTTCAACAAGGTGAGGCTGCAACAACATCCCCGTGTCCCGAAGAGCCCTAAATTCCCCATCTTTCCAGCTGTCCCATGTTCCTGTCATCCCCACGACCCAGCTGTTGGAGCCCGGGGGGTCCCCAGGAGCTGGTGACAAGGGTGTTGCCACTGTCCCCTGTCCAAACTGTCGAGACACGGGGTTTCTGTGGCTAGTGACTATGGCAAGGGTGTCCCTGTGGTGGCTTGGGGCTTCCCTGTGCTTTCAGCAGCCAGGCCAGGGCTGTCCCATGTGTCCCCCTGTCCCACCCTTGTGTCGCCCTGTCCCACATATCCAGGCTCGGGAGCGGCAGCCAGGATATGGGTGTCCCTCGTGTCACCCACGTGCCTGTGCTGACGGTACCTGGGGCCTCCCTGCATTTGGGAGCCCCTGGTGTCCCCACACCATGTATGGGGACTCAGAGGGATCCTTGGGGACTGGTGACCAGGATGAGTGTGTCCCGGGGGGGCTGATGGTCTGGAGAAGGATGTCCCCAGTGTCCTCACCCCCTCTGTGTGGCTGTGATTGGGGGTCCGTTCTCACCCTTGGGGACATCCTTGTGCCCCAGGTGTCGGTGCTGACGGGGATCATCAAGATCAGCCTGAAGACACTGCTGGAGTGCGTGCGGCTGCGGACACTGGGGCGCTTTGGGCTGCAGCAGGTGCAGGTGGACGGGCACTACCTGCAGCTCTACCTGTGGCGCTTCGCCGCCGACGAGCGGGTGGTGCAGGGGCTGCTGGACGAGGTGGCTGCCAGCGCCGCCCACCGCTGCCTCGACCCTGTCCCCATGGAGCACAGCGTCGTCGAGCTCATCTGCGAGCGCGGGTAGGACGGGGGGACACAGCGAGGGGGGGACAATCGTGTCTTAGGCCCTGTGATGTACCTGGGGACAGACGTCTGTCCCATGAGTTCCTGCACGTCCCTGGGGACACCCCATGCATCCTCCCTGCCACTGGGATGTCCCGTGTCCCCACACACAGCAGCGGGCAGGGACACCCCCTGTCCCCACACCGGATCACCCTGTGT